ATCTTCCATCAAATGCTTAGAGACACCACTTATCAAAACATCATAGATTTAAAGTGGTACTCAAAAAAATCTATAAAATAAATTAAGTTTGATTTGGTATCCAATGTGATTTGGGTCCAACATAGTTAGTTCCCTTCTTAACCCACACATAATTCACACTTGCTACACTAAAGTTTCTAACATAGCAAGCATTAAGTGTATGGCCAACAATACCACAATAAAAACAAGTAGGTTCAAAGTTACTTCTATATCTAGGAGGATAAGATTTATTCTTAACAAATCTTTTCTTTTTAGGATATTGATGAACTAATTTAGGTTTGTTCACTTTCTCTTTGGATGATTGATCACTAGCCTTAACAAAGATAGTTTTATTAGAACTAGGTTTTGAAAACTTTGAATATCCAAGTCCACTTTTATCATTGGAATATCTTTGTTGGCTAAGAACACCTTCCAATCCAATTTTACCTTTTTCATATCTCTCCATAACTCTTTTTAATTGGAAAATTTAGAAAGAGAGTGATTCACAATTTTTGCATACAAAATTCTGCTTTTGCTCACTAAATTTTTGTTTTTCATCTTTGAGATCTGTTTCCATAGACTCACATTTTTCTTCTAAAGATGAAATTTGTTTCTTTTGAGATGAAATAGTTTCGTACAGAATTTTACATTCATTTAATAGTTCATCTATTGCACCTTGTACATCATTATCATAAAGAGAAAATTCATTACTAACCTCGTCATCTTCACTATCAGAATGGTGTGAGGCCATCAATACAAGATTAACACGTTGATTGTTTTCGGAATCGGAAGATAAACTTTCCCATGATATATATGCTTTCTTTGACTTCTTATCTTTATTTCTCTTGAAATATTTCTTCTTCTTTTCAAGTGTAGGACATTCACTTTTAACATGTCTCTTTTCTCCATATTCAAAGCATATAACCTTCCTTGTTGGTGCTTCCCTTTTTCTTTCTTTTCGTAGAACCTTTTCAATCTTCCTGATGAGATCATCATCTTCACTACTAGTGAATTCATCCTCTTGATTACTATTAGGATTTTTTATCCTTGTGTTTAAAGCAATGTCTTTTGAATCTTTTACTTGGATTTCATTATTTTCAAGTCTTGCAAGTTCCGTCTCATATTCTTGAAGTTTTCCGAACAAAGTTGCGGAAGTCATTGAAGGAAGACTTTTATTTTCCGAAATTGCCGTTACTTTTGGTTTCCATTCCCTGGATAAAGATCTAAGCACTTTAAGATTAAGTTCATCATTAGTTAAAGTCTTACCGAGTGCTTTCAAATGATTTCTCAAGTGCACGAATCTTTTCTGCAAGTCGAGGATTGATTCTCGGGGCTGTATTCTAAATAGTTTGTATTCTTGACTCAATGTATTTAATCTCGATATTTTAACTTCAACGGTTCCTTCATGAGTTTCTACCAAGGTATCCCATATTTCTTTTGCTGTTTTACATGCAGAGACACAGAAGAATTCATCCATGCTAAGTGCATCTTGGAGAAGGTTGATTGCCTTTTTATCATAGAGGACATTTTTCTTATCATCTTTATCCCATGCAGTTTTAGGCTTTGATGAACCAACACCATTGATCACCGTTATAGGAATAAATGGACCATTTTCGACGGTATCCCATATTTCTTCTCCTTGTGCTTCTAGATGTGACTTCATGCGTATTTTCTAGAAGTCAAAATATTCACCACAAAATATAGGAGGCTTGTTTTTACTACCACCATCTCTGAAAACGGGATTTTGATTTACGTAAGACATTCTGTATCTTTTAGGAACAGGTTACCTATAACTTGCTCTGGAGCCAATTGTAAGTACGAAGAGTGCGCCTAAGAAGGGGGATAAATTAGGTACTTTAAAAGTTTTACCATTTTAGTGATGATGGATATTATTTTTCTGGTTTAGTGCATGATTTTACAAATGTGTTTCTTTCTTTTCTGGTTTATGACTAGTGATGAAAGCGGTAAATGCGGAAAAGTAAAGAACACAAAGATGTATCCTGGTTCCCCTCACAGTCTGAGAGTACTCCAGTCTCCTTTCAACATGAAAGAGATTTCCTTATTGTTAGATCTCTAGACAAGACACCCTAGTCCTTCTATACAAGACTCTAACCAATAAAACGACCAAGAACAATCCTCTTGGACCAAGAACAATCCTCTTGAATTTTCACTATATCAATAATGAGAACAATCCTCTCAAAGTGACCTTACTTGTATCCAACAATCCTGGAAAAACAAGATTACAAAACCACTTGAACTTATTTTCAACAATCCTAAAAAATAAGAAAGTGTATAGCAATATTTGATTGATAGAGTTTGTAGTATAATACTCACTTTGAGTGATTTTATCAATGACTTGATCTTCTCTTCCAATAACAATAATATACAATTACTCAAGACTATAGAATGCTAAAAGTTATCTGTTTAACAATAAATGAAAATGTGCAGAAAAACTTTGTGTATGAAAGTGAAGAAAAAACTTGAGTTTTGATATTTTAAAATTTAGAAACTATTGATTGGAAGAGATTTTTTTCTCTTGATTTTGATTTTTAAATTTCAATATTTATATATTCATAGCACCCTTTTGAAACAACATATAATTCTGCAAATGAATCATGAACAATTTCCAAGATTGAGTGAAAGATTTCCATGAAATGGTTATGAACAGGCATGAGTAAAGCTGTTGTTTTTCAAAATCGTTCAGCATGCAATCGATTGCACCCTTGTGTAAATCGATTGCACGGGATTTCAACAACTAAAAATTCAAATATTTTGAGTGAGCAATCAATTGCGCAAGTGTGTAAATCGATTGCACTTGAAGTCAGTAGCAAAAATTGATTGAGAGCAATCAATTGCACAAACATGCAAATCAATTGCACTTAGAAACAATAGCTAATACTTTGAAAACGTGAAGCATGCAATCGATTGCACCAACATGCAAATCGATTGCACCCAAGTGAAAATTGAATTTTTGCTTTAGAAAACTTGAGAAAAAGTTTGGACAAGATAAAATATTTCTTTTGACCATTGAACATCTATGTCTTAAGTTCAAAGTAAGTACTATCATTATACCTTAAAATTTGTTAAGTGCTTGAACCAAATACTTTATTCAAAGATGCTTTTATCTTGATCAATAATCTTTGCCTTCTTGTCAAAATGGTTTGTCTTCATCAAAACAAAAGTGTATTTGAGAAGCTTGATTTTACAGATTATTCCAGAGCAATCGCGATTGAAGATCAACGGAATCCAATTATCTTGTAATGTCTAACTTTCTTATTGTAATTTCTTTGACTATTATGTGCGGCTAAACCCTCAATGCTAGGGGATGTCCTTGATTTGCATTGCAATAACTATGAATTATTGATTTTTAATACCGTAGTTTCCTTTCAATTTAATCGTTCAATATTTCTAATGCTTTTCTGATCGGACCAGTTAAGATTGATTTACGACAACCCGCTGGACCGCGGTTGTTACGGTTTTTGTACGATGAGACTATAGTAGATATCACCTAGGACTAAAGATACCCTATAGTCACCAGATTTAACCCTTGATAAAATAAAGGCTTGACTCCATCAGATATCTCTAAGGACTTAGGATTTAAGATGGATTATTAAAGGTTTTTCCACTAAGAACTTAGGATAAGATAATCTAAAGGGCAGATAGTTGAAGGTAATAAACTTCTTGAAGAGATCAAGAGTAAAGGTCATTACAGGGTAAACCACACACTCACCCTCTAGCATAATATTCATACTAGTAAAAAGTCATAATTTACATTCTGCATATTTTTAGTTTATGTTAAGTGACAATTCCTAAACCAAAACTCCAATTAAGTTTTTGTTTAATTGAGCTACAAATTAAACTCAATAATGAAACACAGTCCTTGAGATCGATATTCAGAGAATTTCTCTATTATTACAAGGGACAAAAATAATACACTTGCTATTTTTCCTATCAGCGACAATCGAAATTTTTTGAAGATTGAGTATCGCTCTCCATCCATTAAGAACGACAGAAAGCTTGAATTCATCAACAAAGAGATACAAATAAAGACTGATTTTACGGGCTATGTGGAAAACCTTTTTCGGTTACGATGAAAAAGTTCAAATCGAGCTTGATGTGATAATTACAAGAACGATCAATGAAATTTTGAAGTTGTTACAACGTCCACCCAAATGTTGAAGTGTAATGTCATATTCATATATATATATATATATATATATATATATATATATATATATATATATATATATATATATATATATATATATATATATATATATATATATATATATATATATATATATATATATATATATATATATATATATATATTGCTTACTTTATGTAATTTTTTGTAATGTGTAAGTGCTGCTTTCCTGCATTCTGTAATGAAAAATATCGAAAATACATTTTTAGTTATAAATAAAAAATATATTTTCGGTTTTGATTTTTTTTAATTAAATGTTGATGCATCTCGAAAATACATTTCCGATTCTTAAAAATATTTTTAAAAATTTAAGTTGGTGTCTAAGAAACACGTAGAAATTCTCTAATATGATAGTGAAATCCACCAAAGTACATTCGGCTTTCCTCATTCACTTTTTCACAAGCTTTTCACTTAGATTTAAGGGACATTCGTACCTTCCTCACCTGTGCTCATGTGAGCCAACACAATTTTTTTTGTATTTTATGTACTTTTCATTCCTTTCACAATCCAACATTATTGTTGCATTATATGATCTTTATCAAGATATGATAATAAACATTTTCAACTATAAGAAAAATCTTGAATAATCTATATTACCAACACTCAAACCTTAGCAAAACTGTTTATAATATGGTTAACAACAAATACCAGTAACAGAATGGAGAAGCCACAAAGCAAGCTGAAAAATTGACTCAAAATTGGGATGATCAAAACAGATAGAATATTGAAAAGGGTAGAGATACTAGCAAACAAATCTCATCTTCTACACAAAACTTCATCCACTCAAACTCTTAACAATCTCCGAAAGCGCTGAGTACGTTCCAACGGAAGAACACACAACGCCTACTATAATAATCGCAATGCAAAGTCCTGACTGTAAACATAAGAAACTAAAGTTAGTCACGCTATAGTTCATCATAACTATACTAGTGTTTAGAATTAGTTAGAGCTATACCTGTAATCGCGTGACTTTGCCTCGCAAGATTCTTAGGTAACAAACACATGGTAGAATCAAAGTCTGTCAACAAGGTTGATATTCATCAGTAAAACAATCTGATCAATAACGCTACGGGCAATAACAGAAAAAATGAAGGGAACTTACTACAAGCATTGTAAGTAAAGATCCAATCAACGACATTACCAAACCTGAAAAGAATCATCAGATGCGTCATATCTATAACATAGTACAACTATGTCACATTACAGTTGCAATGATTGATTAAGACTTACCGAAAAATGGAACTGAGAGACCAATAACAAGGGTAGAAAATACAAGGCCTGTTCTGATGAAAATGGAAAACAGGTAAGACTTGGAATGGTTCGATGGTATCAACTCTTCAAGACTCATTGCCACCGGAGATATAGTCAATGCATACGTATCGATGCTAGTTAAGAAAAATCATATTTCATCATCTGCTATGTCAGAATACTCTAAGAAGAGAATGTAAAAGAAATGAAATGTCACAAATTGTTAGGATGAAAAACATTTCTCATGATGAAATTTTTTTCATTCTATATGCATGCATATATGTATTCACATGGTGGCGTATAAAGGATATTTGGTAAATGGATTAACCACCTGCCAAGTAAACGTAGAAGAAAATAGTGTTAGCAATTTGTATGGTTTATAAGACAACGAGAATATGCTGTTAATCGATACGCGAAAAAACAAAGTTTGTACCGTAGTCCAGACTGCAATCTTGGTTGCAACTAAATCTTGTGGCAGGTTAAGAGTGAATTGAGAGAGTGTATCTTCTCCAAACATTCTGTATCCCATAACAGCACCTCCAGCATACAGTAAGCTACAAACTCCGAAACTAGGACATACAAAAATCATACATTGTATTAGATAGATTCAAAAGGATCATTATACACTATGGCTAAAGATGATCTTTGGTTTACCATGCTACTAGTACTGCAGGGAATTGGTTTGGATTCGCCATCGATGTGTAAATGTTTGGGAACACAGCATGTCCTGAATAACAGTAGCCATAAAGACCAATAGCAACAGGTAGAGTTGCAAGATTGAGCGTTGTCCCCGAGCGTTGAAAGCCAACTTCTTCAACGCCAACCCAAAACAAGCACAGAATTACTACAACGGATGCAATAACTCCACCGGCTATCACAGACATGGAAAATAAATGGTTATAATAAGCTCGAATATTAACCGAAAATTAAGTGATTATTTGCCCAAAATAAGCGTTACCTGAAATGTAACTAAGAATGCTAAGGTCGCGGAGCCAAACTGTAGGAAGAACAGCCAAAGTGGCAATCACAGCAAAGAGTGTTTTCGGATTCAACTCAATTATACCTAAATTTAAGTATGCGTTTGGAAACAACGAAGCCAAGTTGTCGCCTTCCAAAATTATATACTCAATGCAACAGCCCTGCGTGACAACATAGTTTTTATGAACAAACTTATGATCCAAGGTATGTGAAAAACTAGTCATTTCCAAATTTTACAAGCTCGAAATTGAAGACTGAAACATAGAAAAAAGTATCATGGATCGCATCTATCTCGTACTAATTGGGCGAAGGAAGATGTACTTACATATAATTCGACGTACAATACTATCTGCAAGCAGAAAAAAAGGAGAAATCATAGGAAATTGAGATTAGACAGACACCACTGAAACCACCAAAAGGCAATCATAGGAAATTGACTTACTGAAATGGCGATACGTCCAGCAGTACCAAAAGCAGCCTGGCCAATGTCAGGATATGTCTCAAGACCAGGCTCACTGTCCAAGCAAGAACGCAAGAGCAATCCGGTATAAAAGGAAAGAATTCCGAAAATGAACAAGATGGAAAGTCCTACCCATCCTCCTTCTTTAGCAGCATAAGGAGTTGAAAGAATCCCTACTCCACAAAGAACATTTATGCCTGCAAAATCCAAAAGGCATACATACACAAGTTGTTGATTTTTAGTCCAAAATCCATAAAAGAGAAAGAGATTGCCACGGTTCAATTCGTTACCATTAAGCACAGCCTGTCCGAATGAGCAATGGCCAGAAGGAACTTCATGAGAAACCTTAGAGTCTTTCTTAAGCATAGAAGACCTTCTAGCAGAAGGCGGAAGCAACGCGTGAGAGCTTCGTCTTTGTTGCGGCTCATCTTCTATCTGTTGTTGTATCAGAGGCTTCGTGACCGAAGGAAGTGCTTCCGGAGTGTGCCTCCTTGTTAGAGATGTAGAAAGAAAAGAACTACTCAATCTTGAAAAAGAAGAAGTTCCCAGAAATCCAATATTCGGAGATGGTACACTACTGTATAAATCAATTGATTGCCTGCAATAACAACATCAAGAACACAACATAAGCACTCACTTTCATTAAGCACTTTTATAACAAAAAAAAAAGGTATTAACCTGTAACTCTGAGGCCATGAAGGGTTATAAGAACTTGGTTTCCTTTGTGGCGGATTTTCATTCGAGTAATTTGAAGAATCAGAATCATTTCCATCATTAAAATCCTTATCATCTTCTTCCTCACTTTCAATGATAAAACTGTTGTCTGATACTACTGAGTTATTCATCATCTTCACCAACTATTCACCTTCACACACAAAAAAAAAAAAAAAATCCAAAATTACAAACAAAAAAAACACAGAATCTGGATCTGGATTAATTGGTTTATCCAAAATGCAAACTGCATAGTTTGAATTCCAAAGCTAATTCATAAGTCAGAATCTAATCACTTTTACTACTACTCATGCATTTGAACCAAAAACTTTGAAAGAAAAGAACAAAAAAAACACATAGAAAACAACCAAAAAAGCATTAATTAAGAATTATAATTTTCATAACATCAACGACATTTATTCTTTTTTTTTTTTTGTTTAGAAAACAAAAGAAATTGAAAACCTATGAAAAACGAGAGACAGAACAAAGAACAACTAAAGTTGGTACACGTACTTTACTTTCTCTCTCACAAGACACAAACGCACACTCTATTAGACACTGATGTCTCTTATACAGCTTCACACTTTTCTACTCTCTCTATAAATTACTTTCTGTAGGAAGATTCACGAAAGCATAACAGAAGAAACTGTTTTAGCAGTTAAATTATTACAATCAATCATGTTATTAGTTAATGGTTATGAAACACGGATCCTGAAAACATGACACTGATACTGACACGTTCACATCAATCATAATCATAGAACACTGAAAACATGACACTGATACTGACACGTTCACATCAATAATAATCATAAGACACATTCATGTGTCTAACATAATCATAGCCGTATATTTGTATATAGAAAGATTAGATAGCCATTGCTATTGCTATTGCATATGCTGGCATGGACCCCTATATTTTTGTTTCTATTCGAAGGTGGAGATGAAAATTAAACTTATTTAAATTATTAAACATCATTAGTTAAACATATAGATTTCATAAGATTTGTTTTTTGTTGTGTTTGTATGTGTGTAAATAAAGAATACAAGTTGTACATTTTTTATTGATATTTTTGTTTGTGAAGATAAGGTTACCTGAGAGTGATGAAATAAGAATTCAATGTTTTTTTGACTTTTTTTCAACGTTAAAAGAAAACATTGATACATGATTACAATGTGAAATTATTACAAATAATTGTAAAGTGATATGCAATGAAGAGAATATCCAAATATTCTACTTTACCTTCTCAATTTAAGCAAATAATGGATCACAATAAAAATTGTATATAATGATAAAAAAAAATTTTAAAATTTATTGCATACTAATTAATATATTTGAATTATATATAAATTATAATGAATTTAAAAATGACTTTTTTTTTATAATAAAAACTGAAATAATATATAATTATAAATCAATTGTAATCAATTATTTAGTAAAAGATTAAATAAGTATTTGGTCATTTAAATATTTCAAATTTCGTTTTTAATCTCTCGAATATTTTCCTTTAAAAATTGTTCTCTTTAAAATTTCCGTCTGAATAATTGGTCCTCAACGTCACGTTCCACTAACGGCTTCCTATGTGGTAAAGATGAATTAAATAATTAATTTTATATATTTCTATGAAATACGGCGTGTATACTGACCCCTTATTAAAGATGAGTCACATGCTATTTTTGACCTAATTCCTTTCCTTTCCTCTTCATTTGAACATTCTTCTTCGTGAAAATCTGCAGCACAAGAGTTGCTTCATTGATTCATCTTCTTTCTTCTTTCATCTCCGTCCTCCTTCATCTCCATAACATAATGTCTTATGCTTCAGTGAAATCGCGAGTTGGGAAGTATTGTGCATGTCAAATTCGGATGGTGTCATATTATTGTAAGAATGGACCAAATAAGGATAGGTTGTTTTGAAGATGTCCTTATTGACAGAGTTCTAGAGTTCTGGTACATGTAATCTATTCATATGGGATGAAGATTTTGGCGTAAAATCTGGAAATGAAGATGTTACTATTAGGAACTTAGAGTTGGAAGCCATGATATCCGTAGGATATATGAAGTCCTTGTATAAAGATTTAAAGAAGAAGAACAAGAACTTGAATATCAAATTGAAAACTGAGAAATTTCATAACATTAAAGATGTTGTGTCTTGTTGTGTTATTTATGATAATTTTATTATCAATAGTTGTTGCTGAATTGTTTAATGTAATGAATAAACCATATAAAAATCGTGAAAGGATCAAATTCAATATTTTAAGAGCTTAATGATAGTGATATACTAATTTACATTGAGCATAAATATTTTTTTTTTAAGGTTTATTCGAAAGAAAGAGTGAGTTTATACATAAAGTATTCTCTATATTGTATTTAGTTACCTATGGAGGATGCTTTAGGATATTCCCTTTTATTAAATGCACATGGACAATTTATTTCAATGGAATAGAGACAAAAATTAAAATTGTGAACTATTTTATAATAGGAGTAGGTTATAAAGAAAGTTGATGTAGTCAGTATAAAATATGGACTAAATACATCAACATATTTTAAATATTTTTTGCTTTTATTAATTTGAAATCTGGGTAGTATTTATTACCATTATTGTTTTTAAATAAAGACCTTTCTTAAATTAAAAAAAGAAGATATTTTACATTTTTATGTTGTGTATAATAATAATTAGAGCGTGTATCATTAAAAACAAACGTAAATGATTTTTTTTAAAGATGATATATTTTAAAATGAAATTAAAGAGTATTTAAAAAGTTGCCTTATGTAATAAAAAATGTATAATCTGTTTGGGTGGGGTGGTTGTCGTTTATGATGGTCGGTTATTGAGTTTAAAAGTTACTTTTGAAAATAAAATTTAGGGTTAATACCTATTTTCACCTCTGACATATGGGGTGTATTTGAAAAACCTCCCTGCAAAAAAAAAAGTTCCAATAGTTACCTTGACAAATTTTAAAAGTTTCAATTTTTACCTTGAGGCTCCCACATCACCTAAAAGGCTGATGTGGCTTATTTTTTTGTTACAGGTGTAAGTTTTTTTTTGCCATGTCACACAAGACCAAGTAAAATGTCCAGAATGCCCTTTTCTTAAAATCCCAAATTATTTGGCAAAATTAGGGCGCAACATCTTCATCTTCATCTTACAAAAAAAGCCAGTTTCAATTCAGACCCTGCGATTAGGGTTCTTCATCCTTGCAAATGGGTGTGTTTAATTTAGTGTTTCATCATGGGGGAAGTTTCGTGCAAGACGGCCATACGTATTATAGAGGAGGTAGTGAGACTACTGTTGAATGTCAGGACGAAGATAAATGGAGCTTTTTTGAAGCTGTTAGTCTGGTTAAAGATTGGGGTTATGAAGGTTTTAGGCTATGGAGAAAGATTCCACAAACGGATGAAGGGTTTACAAATGTTGTTGATGATGCAGGAGCTGTAGAAGTTGCTAAGCATTGTATGTCTTGTAGGGTTCACGACGATCTTTGGGTAGAGCACGGTGTAGAAGACATGATGACCAAGGTTCTGGTACCTAATGTTGATGACTTCAGCACCTCTAGTGGAGATGATAGTTCTGGTGACTATGTTGATGCAAGCCAATGTTTCAATGACAGTGAAGAGGAAAGAGTAATTGAAGTAGAAGAAGAGCAATTTGAACGAGTGGAGGTAGCTGTTCCAGTTAGTGGGAATAGGGTGGAGATCGAAGGGAAATCATTTAGATTCAAGCGTTGTGCATCCAAGGATCCCAAAAAGATGAAAGAAAAGAGCAAAAGGGACAAGGTCAGTGTTTTGGTGCCCAAAAGTGTCTTAGGATCTTGTTCAAAGAGGGCTACAAGGATATGTGAAGATGTGGATTATGCTAGTGAGAAACTTGAAAGTTCAGATGCTGATGAAAGTGACATGGATGACAAACCTTCCAAGCCAAAGTATGAGAAGTTCAGATCGGAGCTGCTTAACAAAGACTTTCAATTCAAATTAGGTATGGAGTTCATTTCTCTTTCTGAATTTAAAGATGCTATCAGGGATTTGGTCAGTATTAAATGGTAGAGAAATAACGTTTGTTAAGAATGAGAGCTATAGGGTTAGGGTTGAGTGTAAGAGTAAATGTGGGTTTTTGGCATTGTGTAGCAAAGTGGGAGGTAGCCTCACTTACCAGCTAAAGACTTGGGTGGGGACCCACACATGTGCAAGGGTATTAAATAACAAGTCTGCCAATTCCAAGTGGGTCTCTAAGTTAGTGGTTGAAAAGAGGAAGTCACAAGGGAAAGTTAAACTGTCTGAAATTATGTCTGAGCTTAGACAGAAATATTCAGTGGGCATTACCAAAGGGAAAGCTTGGAGAGCCAAAGCTATGGCTGAAGAAATAATTGAAGGTGATGCAAAGGAACAGTATAACATGTTATGGAGATATGCAGCTGAGTTGAGAAAACATTGTGCTGGGAACACTGTCAAACTAAATACTGAGAGACCACATCCAACACTACCACTAAGATTTGGTAATTTTACTTCTGTTTTGATGGATGCAAGAAAGGGTTTACCAAGGGTTGTAGACCATTTATAGGGGTAGATGGGTGTCATCTTAAGACACAATATGGAGGTCAATTGTTAATTGTTGTAGCAAGGGACCCGAATGACCAATATTATCCTTTGGCATTTGGTGTGGTGGAGACTGAGACAAAAGAAAGCTGGAGATGGTTTATGCAATTGCTAATGGAAGACATTGGAGAAGAGAGAAAGTATGTTTTTATTTCAGACCAACAAAAGGTACAAATATGCACTAATTACCTTAGTTATTCACATTTATGAAACATGCACAAATATGCACTAATTTCTGGTACTGAAGTATTTCTGGTGCTAATGTTCAACATTTATGAGAACCTGCTGCTAATGTTACATGCCTTGTTCTGTTGCTAATGTTCAACATTTATGAGGAATATATAAGTTGCTAATGTACATGCTTTTTTCTGTGGTCTTGCTGTTTTTAGGGACTTGTTAGTGTCTTTGAGGAAATGCATCAGCAAGTTGAACACAGGGTCTGCCTCAGACACCTGTATACAAATTTCAAAAAGAAATTTGGAGGGGGAGCTGCCATTAGAGACCTGTTATTGGGGGCTGCAAAGGCTACTTACTTCTAGGCTTGGGAAAAGAAGATGAATCAGCTTAAACAAATTGATAAGAAGGCATGGGAATGGCTGATGGGAGTCCCAACAAAACTATGGTGTAAGCATTCATTTTCATTTTACCCTAAGTGTGATGTTTTGATGAATAACTTGAGTGAATATTTCAATAGTACAATATTACAAGCTAGGGATAAGCCAATACTCACTATGGTAGAATGGATTAGGAACTACGTGATGAATAGGATTGCTAATAGTGTTGTTAAGCTTGATAAGTGGAAGCACAATGTCATGCCTAATCCTAGGAAAAGGCTTGATAAGGAAACATATCTTAGTGGAGAATGGCTGCCTACATGGAGCAGTGGTGATTTGTGGCAAGTCCATCACCCATATAATGGATTGCAGTTTGTTGTTGATATTGGGAAAAAAACATGTACTTGTTGTTTTTGGGATCTTGTGGGCATACCATGTAGGCATGTTGTTTCTGCATTACAGTATCAAAACTTAGATCCTGAGAAATATGTTGACCCTTGTTACATGAGAGAAGCTTACAGGGCATGTTATGAAAACAATGTTAGTCCAATAAATGGCATGGACATGTGGCCAACTGTGGATGCTGAAGAATTGTTGCCACCACAATACAAGAAGGGACCTGGAAGGCCTAAGAAACTGAGGTTTAGAGAGTTGGATGAGAATGGTTCAAGGATGAGGAGGGTAGGTGTAGCATACAGATGCACGCATTGTGACAAATTTGGCCATAATTCTAGGAAGTGTCAAGCTAAGGAGCAAGATCCTAATGCACTAAAGAGAAAGGTATTGTGTTCATGAATCTGTTACTGAATAATATTGTGTTCAGCATATTGAAATGTCTTTATTTATATCTGTTTCTGAATAATGCAGAGAAAGACACCTAGGACCAAAGTGTCAAAAAAATCTGATGCAAATGTTGATACAACTGCAACTGGAGGTGGAACTGTGGATGAAGACCCAGAGATGGATGCATTGCTGAATAATATGATGGATCTTTATAAAGAACAACAATCACAAGTTGACAATCCCACACAACCTACTGCTATGCAACCTCCCCCAACACATGAATCATAACCTGCTGCAATGCAACCTCCCCCAACACATGATTCACAACCTGTTGCAATGCAACCTGACCCTGCTGCTACTAATGTCAAGAAGCCTTCAGCTAGGAAAAAGCCCGTGGCCGTGCCTTGGAAGCGATCAAGAAAGAGAGTCAGTGAAAGATTGAAGGGAGTGAGGAATGCCAAAAGACATGGCGGGCCTGGATCAACACCTGATGCACCTTTGACCATAGGTGAAGAAACTGGTGGTAGTACCTCAAAGAAGATATCAAGGAAGAAGAGGAAGGGCATTGATCAGTAGTTGTGCACATAGTGTGCTATTTTGTAAAATTCAATTTGAAAGTTTCCTGTGTCATTTTGTTACTTTGACTTATTATCAGAACAGGCTTGGCTTAAGTTATGTATCATGTTATTGTCATTTTGTATCACAGATGTACTTGACTATGTATCACAACAGATTTGCTTGACAATGTTAAAGTCATTTTGTACAACAGATTTTGGCTTAACTATTTTATTGTCATTTTGTACAACAAATTTGCTTAAGAACAGAATTACTTAACAACATATTTGCTTAACAACAGATTTTGTAAAACAGAATTACTCAACAGAATTGCTTAAGAACAAATTTCCAAAATATCAGAACAGATTTCCAAAATATTCCAAAACAGAATTGCTTAAGAACAGATTTCTAAAATATCAGAACAGATAACCAAAACTCATGAGAGTAATATATTCCATATTCCATAACAAAGAAATATAATTCATGAACTAAATTTTACTTAGGTTACAACTTCCTAGAACATAATCCACAGCTTCATGAATTTTTACATGAACTAAGTAAGAAATGAACCAAAAGACAAATAAACCCAACTAAAACATAATTCAGCTTCTTTTGTAACTCATCCATTTTTTTCTCCATGGCTTCCATCTTCAGTGCGATGTCTCTCTCCAGTTTGCTCATCAGTTCTACTGAAACTACATCCGAATGGCCGTTATCACCGAAATCATCAGAAAATTCATCATCCCAAACAAATGCGTTGCAGTCATCTCCTTTACCCCAGAACTTACACTTCCAGTATTTTCTCCCGGGATTTGCAACCGATTTTGAAACAAATAACTTCATGGAGACATTGTGGCCGCATTTGGGAGTTAGTCTACCATTTGAAGATAAGCATGAAGTAGAACAATTTGGTTGACTCATGTTTATGAAATCAAAGAAAACTTAAAGATGAAGAGGAAAGAGGAAAGCAAAAGTTAGGTTGCTGAGATGAAGATGTTGCGCCCTAATTTGGAGGTGGAGGGTCTGAATTGAAACATAGCATTTGCCAAATTATTTGGGATTTTAAGAAAAATGTAGAAAGGGCATTCTGGACATTTTACTTGGTCTTGTGTGACATGGCAAAAAAAAAACTTACACCTGTAACAAAAAAATAAGCCACATCAGCCTTTTAGGTGATGTGGGAGCCTCAAGGTAAAAATTGAAACTTTTAAAATTTGTCAAGGTAACTATTGGAACTTTTTTTTGGCAGGGGGATTTTTCAAATACACCCCATATGTCAGGGGTGAAAATAGGTATTAACCCTAAAATTTAAGTTAAAAAGGACTTAATTTGGTTTTTCAATTAATTTCAAAAAAATAGTAATAATAATCACCAATATTACAACCTCTAGCATGACCACATTTAACTACCATCCATCACCTCTTGATCACCACAAAAACATCACCAACCATCATCTTTCAGTCACCACTTTATCAATGATCTTTAATTTGATCATCATTCTGACTGCAATCAATTCTCACTCCAGTCACCCATCAACCACTATAATGATCACTATCAATCACCACACCGACTATCATTAATCATCATTGATCAATTTTTGATTATCACTAATCACCACTCTATACACTTCTAATAATCAATTTGACCACTAACCACTACTATTAACGGTTGGGCTTGGACTTCTTTCTTATGTGAAGAAAGACTCAAATACGAATAGTCTATTTGTCTCACTTATTTAAGTGGAGAGTGTCCATTTAGGGTGAAGGAAAATAGGAAGAAAATAAGGATTCAAAAGAGAGAAAAGAGGAGAAAAACTCATTCTCGTTTTTTCTACATCAGTCTCACTAAATCGACGATCCCCAATTTGTTAGCCGTTGAATCGAGCTCAAATTTGGAGGAATATTCACAACACCTATATCTAACTTTTGACCGTTGGGATCTTCAAAACAAAGTCTAAGCTGAGGGATAATTGCTTCGCACAGAAGCTGTAGATTTGAGTAATTTCTCAGTTTTTTGGATTCTTATTTGTAAGTTAGTTTGCTTTGTGATTTGCAGTTATCATCACTATTTTGTGAATCAATTTAAGACTCTCTTGCATCCTCAATTGATTATAGTGAAGCTATTTCTTTGGTCTGAACGACTCGTGGTTTTTACTCTCATATTGAGAGGTTTTCTACGTTAAAAAAACATGTGTTCTTTTGTGCCTTTATTTGATCGATTTGTCGTCTTATATTTATTATTGATCCTCAAGGTTCCTACAAGTATGGAGAATTTTATATCTGTTGTATATTATTATGTTATTTTGTCTTAGTTTCTCATCAGAGTGACATCAAAGCTCTTGGTTAAGGGCTATTTTACTTATTTGAATGATGGAGTCAAATACAAAGATGAAGATGGTATTGTTGAATGGTTCTAATTACCATTTATGGAAGGGTGAGATGAAAGACTTACTATTTATGAAGAAATTGTATTTACCAGTTTTTAGTTCCGCAATGTCGGATTCTTTGTCTGATGAAGAATGAGAGTTTGAACATCAACAGATATGTGGTTTTATTCTACAATATATAAAAGATAATGTTTATAATCATATTGTTAATGAGACACATGCTAAAACTTAGTGGGAGAAGATAGCATCATTATATGCCTCTAAATCACGGAATAATAAATTATTCTTGTTGAATAGCTTCATAAGTTTGAAGTATAAGGAGGGATCTTTTGTTTCATATCACTTGAGTGAATTTCAAGGGCTCCTTGATCAGATGTCAGGAATGGGTATTAAATTTGATGATGATGAACTTTTGGGACTATTTTTATTGCTATCTTTACTAGAGTCTTAGGAGATGTTTCAGGTCTCTATCACAAGTTCTGCTCCTAAAGGTGTTATTTCTTTGGAAACAGATAATGGTGGTATTCTTAATGAGGAGATGAGAAGGAAGTCACAAGATTCTTCATCTCAATCTGAGATGCTTGTCACCTAAAATAGGGGAAAAATTCAGAAAAAGGAACTGAAAGGTGGTAGAGAGAATAGTAGAAGCAAGTCCATGCCGTGATATAAGAATCTGGAGTGTCATTATGGTCACAAAACAAGACACGTACAAAAGTATCATTATCAGTGGAAAAAGGATAACAAAGGCAAGAAAAGTAAGTCTAGACAAAAATATCATGATGATCATGATGATGATCGTGTTACTACTGCTACTTGTAATGATCTTGTTATTCTACGTGATCATGAATATGTTAATCTCGTATCAGACGAGAGCATGTGGATAGTTGACAGTGGTGTTACATTCCATGTTACACCAAGGAAGGATATTTTTTAACATCTTATACTTTTGGTGACTTTGGAGTGTTAAAGATGAGTAATGACGGTGTATCTAAGGTAATTGGTGTTGGTGATGTTTGTTTGCAAACCAACATGGGAATGCAATTGTTGCTTAGAGGTGTCAAACATACTCCAGATGTCCGCTTTAATTTGATCTATGTGCATATGCTTAATGATTGTGGTTATGACAATCATTTTGGTTCTGGAAAGTGAAAACTAAACAAAGATAACTTGGTTATGGCTAGAGGGGAGAAGCTTTCTAAATTGTATTGGACAAAAGCTTTGGTTGCTAGGGACAATGTGAATGCTATCGATATAGAAGCATCTTTGTGCCACCGGAGACTTAGTCATATTAGTGAAAATGGGATGAATATTTTGGCCAAAAAGGGTATTCTTCATGGGTTAAAGAATGCATATTTGGAGAAGTGTTCTCATTGCATGGCTGATAAACATACTAGAGTATCTTTCAAGAGACATCCTCCCTCAAGGAAGTCAAAGTTGCTTCAATTGGTACATTTTGATGTTTGTGGTCCATTAAAGGTAAAATCCTTTAGTGTTGCACTTTATTTTGTTATCTTTATTGATGATTGTTCTAGGAAACTATGGGTTTATGCCTTGAATACAAAAGACCAAATGTTGGAGAAGTTCAAATAATTCTATGCTCTTCTAGAGAGGGAGATAGGCGATAAGCTGAAATGTGTTCATTTTTATAATGGTGGTGAATATTATGGACCATTTTATGCCTATTGCAAGCATCACAGTATTTCACATGAAAAGACTCCTACTAAAACTCCTCAGTTGAATGGTTTAGCAAAGAGGATGAACCGAACACTAATTGAGTGAGTAAGGTGTATGTTCTCTGAAGCTAAGTTGCCAAATAATTATTGGGGCGAGGTACTTTACAGGGAGGTGCATGTTCTTAATCTCACTCTTAATGTTGCTTTTAACAGTGAAGTTCTAGACAAGATTTAGTTTGGAACGAATGTCAAATATGATCATTTGAGAGTCTTTGGTTTTTAGGATTTTATGCATATTCCAAAGTGAAATTCCGGTACACTAGATAAATGTTAAAACTGGTGTCACAACACCAGAACACAATGTCAAGACAGATGTTAAGACATCATATACTGATAGAGCAATTTACAAAATAATAAATCATGCAGAAGGTAAATTTCAAAAGATAAATAGCACAGTCAATTGTTAACTCAGTTCAATGCAACATCATCTACTCTGGAGGCATCCAAGCCAGGAAAAAATCCACTATAATAGTATTAGTCCAAAGCTTAAACAACCCTAGTTTACAATTTATCACCTAATCACTACCCATGAAATTTCTACCTAGGAACATCTTAGATATGAGAACCCTCTCTCACTTTCCACAATCACCTTAGTGATAATAACAATGACCAAA